ATTTTAGTTCCTAAACTTTTTATGGTGTTTCTAATTATTATTATACATTATTTTTTATTTGTTCATGAACTTTACATTTTCTGTCTAAAAAAAGAAAATCAACAATGCATGCACTTGTACAGTGCTTATATCGTGGAACCGGTGCATGGTAAGCACCATGCACCCTTTGTTATTTTTTATTTCTCCTTTTCTTAAAATTGTTAATAATTTTTTTATTTTTGATCCGATTTTTATAAAATTTATATCAATTTTTTTTTTCATGATCTTTCAAATGAGACCAATATTGCCTATGTAATTTTAATTTGTTACATTCATACATTTTTTGTAATATATTTTTATATGCATACACTTTTTCTATAATATTTTTTTTATCACTTTTATATGTTTTTAGAGGTTTTTAAGATATTGAGTTTGTTTATTTTGCTTCTAGCTTGGAGTTACATTTGATGTTATACGAAGTTACATCATTTTATACTTCATTTACAAGTTATTATGTGTGAGTTACATCTTGTTATGTGTGAGTTACATCTTGCTATACACGAGTTACATACTTTTATGCGCGAGTTACATGTAATTATGTGTGAGTTACATCTTGTTATGTGTGAGTTACATCTTGTTATACACGAGTTACATACTTTTATGCGCGAGTTACATGTAATTATGTGTGAGTTATATCTAATTATTTGTGATTTTTTACTTATCTTTATCTTGAACTAATTCAATTATAACTGAATTAATTTTTTTCTTTGCCAATTTAATACAAAATTTTATTAATCCATATAAAATAAGGATATTGTATTTCATATTCATACACAATTTTTCAAATGATAAAAATGAAAGATGTAACATGGGTTTATTTCATGGTGTAACTCATATACATTAAGATGTAACTCGCGTATATTAACATGTAACTCGCGTACAATAAGATGTAACTCGCGCAAAGAAGATGTAACTTCATGATATATTATCAAATGTAACTTCAAAATAATTTGTTAAAATTACATAAGCAATATTGGTCTCATTTGATAGATCATGAAAAATAAAAAAAATTGATATAAAATTTATAAAAATCGGATATCAAATTAAAAAGTTATTACAATTTTTAACAATAAAAGAAATAAAAAATAATGGATGATGCGTCGTTTTGGGATCGGGTGCACCATGATATAAATTGCGCACTTTGTAGTATTTTTTTGATAATGGAATAGATCTTTACGTGATTACATCATTTACGCCCAGAACAGAGGTTCCGGTGGCCCATTACATAACATGGTCTATTTTTGAAAGAAGATTTACATTGCTCCCATCCCAGGTCCCCAGGAGCCCCCACCCCGATCCGACAGGATGATGGGGAGGTTAGTCACGGTGACTCAGTCAATAGAATGACAGTAGGTCCATACACCCGTGCGCACCAGAGGCCCAACCTTATTTCATGTTCTGTGACCTCCACCCGATCGCTGCGGGGAATCGAACTTTGGTCCATTGTTCCAAATCTCCCACCAACTGAGCTACTCGTGCGGGTTGAAAAAAGATTTACAAAGTGAAAACAATGATTTTATTTTGAGAGAATTCTCCAAATAGGAGCAAAACATAGGCAAAATGCAAAAAATAGGAGTACCATGTTTTGAATATGAGTAACTTTAGTGTCTGGACAAGTATACCCCTACCCAAGCCTCAACAACTTTTAATTAAATGTTTAATTCATAATAAATTCGAAAAAAATTCAAAAAATAGTAGAAAAATAATTAAAAAATTTATAAAATATTAATAAAATAAAAAATTAAAATTTTTTATTTTTTTATTTTTTTTAAAAATTTAATAAAAAATAATAAAACTCCATAAAAAAATTAAAAAAATATGGATGCCTTTCCCACTACTTGTACTACCTCCCTGCACCACCACCTCCGGGCGGTGGAAAAAAAATCCATTTTTCCTAAAAATTGCCTTTTTCTGAGAATGCCAAAAACATGGCATATCTCTCTTTGCGAATGCCAACATTTTCATTGTTTTCTGCCATATATATGGCATTCGTAATGAACTTGTCATTTTTTTTCCCCTGGTGACTGGAGGTGGTGCTGCTGAGGCGGCGGAGGTGGGGGTGAATTTTATTTTATTTTTTTGAGTTTTTTTTTTTAAAATATATTTTTTTAGTTTTTGAAAAATAAATAAATAAATAAATTATTATCGAATAAGTCATAAATTAACTAGGTTAGGATTAAATAAGTCATATTTTAGAATTAACTATGTTAGGGATATTAAGGGTACAAAATCAATGTTTACTCCTATTGAAGGAAGTTTTAAGTTTTACTCCTATTTGTGCAATGTTTATATTTACTCCTATATTGGGCAATTTCTATTTTATTTTCACGTTTCAGTCTACTTGCGAAAATTTCCCAATAAGGTATACAAAATGTTGGGCCCCTAATTTTTTCAGTTTTTTGGGGTCCTGATGCACATGCCTCCCAACCTTGGAAAAGGAATTTTCGGCTTAAATGATTGAATTTCTGGTCAAAAAGTAATTTCCTACTACCTCCATCCCACTAAGATTGGGACAAGAAAATGTAGCACGATTATTAAGAAAAGTGGGTTTGAAATCCACTAGGCACATAACGGTTTGAAATTTAATGGAGTGAATTTCAGCCTTGATTACTCCAGCCCCCCCAGGCCCCCTCCCCCAGATCCCCTGGAGTAAAAAAAAGGTGGAAATAAAGTAAGAATGATTTAGAGCCACACAATCTTTACCAAATTTGGTATGAGACAATTTTAGTGAGACTTCTCCAAAAGGTAAAATGAGACAATTTTAGTGGGACGGAGGGAGTATTATTTTTGCTTTACATTCAAATAGTTGAGATTATTAAAAATCATTTTCAAAGTATGTATTATTTTTTGTATATGGGTGATTAATGATATTATTTAAAGTTAGTTTTCTTTTTAAAAAATTCATTATTTAGGAGCATTCATAATAAACTATCAAAACTGAGGATATTTGAGTGAAACACGATAATCTTTTAGTTGGAACTTGGAATCCTTCAAAATTTGAAAATGGATCAATGAGATTCCTATATGAGGATCTTATTTTTGAGTATCAAACAATGCACCCTAAATGAGTTAATACAGCCAAGAAATACCTAACAAGTAACCTCCATATGGACATCAATAATCAATTTTATTCCCGGTGCTCTAGTTTATCAATTCTTTACAAATAAGCATGACTCGGATGCTTATTCAATAAAGTGAAAAAGGCCGTAGGCTTTAGTTTGATGTGTCATAATGGCTAAAAAAGTTCCAAATTTTATGCCATGGCTAAGATTGGGTTCGTTTTGTAACTTTAAAATGCATTACCCCGACCACATTTTTTTTTGCATTGACAAAAAAGTATAATCCGCATAGAAACTTTAAAGTTTAACATCAAAGTATCAGAAACCAAACTATTGCTTTCTCCTTTGCAGCAAACAATCTTTAACCCCGAGGCAGCCAAACACTGTGACACATCTCGAATCTTAAATCCACTTTTTATATCATTCTTACGTGCAATGATGTAGTCAATGGTCAGCCACCCACAAATTTTGAAACAATTATTCAAACAATTATTAAATAAAATTATTTAGGCATATATTGAGAAGTGGTTTTGAATGATATACAGAGTATAATACAATAAGGTCATGCAATAGTGCTAATTATTTCTTAAAATAGAAATAAGAACTTTTAATTGGAACGTCCAAGAGAGACATATTCTCTTTCTTTAGCAAATTTAGAGCTTGTTTGGTATCACGAAAATTGGCTGATTCGGTTTATTCTGCTGAAATTGATGAAGTTTTGGCTGAAGTGGCTGCATTGACTAATTTTGCTGATTTAAGAAACAATTACTTTTAAAATACATTTTAATAATAAAATAAAGACAAAATTATATGTGAAAATAGCTAAAATGATCATCTACAGTAAATTCAGTCAATACTGTCAGAAAAGTAACTACAATCTTACTTTTTTTATTGTTAAATCATTCAGCGCGCGAAAACAAAAATTACGTGTTTGGTGAAAAAGTTAGTTGATAAGCCTGATAAACCGAAAAACAGTGTTAGCAAACGAAAAGTGATTTTGATCTCCCGTATTTATTTATTTAGTATACGATTAAGTCCACAAAGTCAAATTTAATATGTTTGGTAAATAAATTGATTTATTACTACGTACTCCGTATAAGATTATCAAGAGGGCTTTATGATTGGTAACCGGGAAAGTGTGGCGGAATGGAAGAATAATAAACTTCCATTAAAAAAAGTTTAAAGGGGACGAAATCTGAGGCAATGGGGAAAGGGTAGCTGATATTTTTGGATAAGCTAAGCAGGCAATCCTTGTTGAAAAAATAAATAAAGTATGAAAGTTTTAACTTTTCGGCTAGCATTCTGCATTCACATTTATATAAAGAAAGGAAACGGATTTAGCCCAGAATAATTTGGGAGCAGACAAGGAATGTAAGTGTCTGAAGGAGTCTGCAAGGAAGAAGTGCAGAGAAATCCATGCCATGTCTGGTGTCAATTTCTCAAAATCCCACCCCCCCTGATTTCACCCTCTGTTCTTTCTTCTTCCTTCTTCTTCAAGCCTTCCCCCTATCTAAAATTCTTTTTCCATCTTCATCATTTTCACCATCATTTATAAGAAGAGGTTATTCTCACCATCAGGAGATCACCACTATTGCATACAGTAAAAAAGTATCACATTTTCCCAGGTTTTGCAGCTTCCTCCAATTCTCCAAAGAGAGAGTGTACTACAGGGCAAGACATCTAGGGTTCTTACTTCCATTTGGAAGTCCTTTCCCACAAGCAAACAAATAACAAAAAAAAAAAAGTAAAATTGATTACCTTCCATAATAAAGCTATCAACGGCATAATTCTTTCTCTTCCCCTGATGATGCACCCCGCCAAAGCTAGCTACGCCTTCTTGTTCTGTATCTTATCTCTCTGCCCTTCCCTGATTAGCGCCACCTTCAACCTCACCCTCCCACATCAACACCCCTATCCTGAGGTGGTGGCTCAAGAAGTTCAAAGGTAATTACAAAGCATTGATCCGACGCCAAATCTGGATTTCGCACATTATAAGAACTCTGTATTTTTCAAATAACAGCTGAATCCGACGCCATTTTTGTTCATCCATATACTTCTGAATTTCTAGTTTTAGACTTTAGTAGTTTTTCCCCATTCATATTTCAATTTCTCATAAGTGAAATTGTACTGGAATTGGGAACTACTACAGCCGTATTCCGTTTAATTCCCTACTTCTGCATTTAATCAAACAGTTTGCGTGCTATGAACAGGAGAGTTAATGAATCGGTGACAAGGAGAAGACTATTGGCAGGGACGACAGAGAAAGATGAATGCCTTACCGGAAACCCGATCGACGACTGCTGGAAGTGCGACCCTGACTGGTCAAATAACCGCCAGAAACTGGCGGACTGCGCCATTGGGTTCGGTGTAGGCGCGATGGGCGGAAAAGGGGGGAAATACTACATAGTCTCCGACTCCTCGGATCTGGACACCATGAACCCCAAACAGGGGACTCTCCGGCACGCGGTGATCCAAACGGAGCCGCTCTGGATCGTATTCTCGGCGGACATGACTATCAACCTGAAACACGAGCTGATCTTCAACAGCTACAAGACGGTCGACGGCCGCGGCGCGAACGTGCACATCACCGGAAATGGCTGCATAACTATACAGTACATCACCAACGTCATCATCCACAACGTCCACATATACCACTGCCTTCCGTCGGGGAACGTTCAAATACGGTCGAGTCCGACGCACGTCGGGTGGAGGGGCAGGTCGGACGGCGACGGCATATCCATATTCAGCTCGAGGAATATCTGGATTGACCACTGCGATTTGTCGAAATGCACGGATGGGCTGATCGACGTGATAATGGGGTCCACCGCGATCACCATCTCCAATAGCTACTTTACCCACCACGACGAGGTCATGCTGCTCGGTCACGTTGATGGAAACGTGCCCGACTCCGGAATGCAGGTTAGCTTTTCTTTTTTAAAAGTTTACTTTTTCACTCAAAAATGTACTTTCTCACGCCATTCTCGAGAATATAGTTTTTTGATGGACGCTTTTGGTACACTCGTCTATCACACATTGTTCGTAGTAAAATCATGTAATTATTAGTTAACCTATGGTATAAATGACAAAAGCTTATTGAGTACACCAGTTATGAAAATATTATGAGAAAATTTTCAAAATTGAACATAATGTGCACATGCAAATGTGACATTATAGATAGTCACATAAATATCAGTAAATAAATTATCTCTCTCCTAATTTGAATGATTTTATTATACAAAATTTTGGTAAATTTTCGTATGCGATGTCAAGAAGATCATCTAGATGTTGTTAACATTGTACAGAAAAACTTATCAAAATTATTTAAAATTATTCAAATAAAAATATAGAGATATAATTTATTTGATTATATTTATGTGCCTATTTCTCATCTGCAATAATAATAATATTGGATTCGCTGCATGTGGGAATCTTATTCGGTTTACCAAGCTAAAAGGTTGTAAAAGAAGAGCTAGCCCACACGATTGAGTGCAATCTTGCGTAATACGAAAAGATAAAAGAAGTGGAATTTTGATATACATAAATACGACTATATGAGCGCTATTACTAAAGAAATTATAACACCCACAAATGATAATGACACGTTTAATCTTATAAAAGATTAAAAGCAGACATTTTCTAATTATTAGATCTATTTCATGAAAATAAATTAAATAATAATGATTGCATGTTTAGTAAATTCGTTATATATATTATAGTTATGTTTAAGGAGTTGCATGCCTAAAAAGACATTCACAACAATGCATTTTGAATTGGCTTATTTGATTTATCTATATACATATGTGGAGAAATATAGTTTAGATTAGTATTAACTTCACTTAATAAAAAAGAATGGAGGGGTGTGGATGGATGGAGTAACTAATTTTAGCATTGAAGGTGACAATAGCGTTCAATCACTTTGGAGAAGGATGCGTGCAAAGAATGCCGAGGTGCCGAAGAGGATATATTCACGTGGTCAACAATGACTACACCGAGTGGCAAATGTATGCCATAGGCGGTAGCGATCACCCCACCATCAATAGCCAGGGAAACCGCTATGTTGCACCCCTTAACGATTACGCAAAAGAGGTACATACACACGCTACTTATGTGCGTAGTCTATGTTATTGGATTTTGTTTATTCAGTATCATAAATTCATAATTTATGTTGGTTTTTATTAGTATTGCATAGTAGTTCCAACTTACGGAATATGTTCTATAACTAATAAATTATGTATTTAAGGACTTTTTCACTGAATTGTACAATTTTGGTCTAGATAAGTTCAAATTTTTGGTTGCTATAACTGAAATTTGTTACTTCAATTCTAGGGAAAAATTCTCAATTACATGACATGATCTAAAAGTAAATAATATAATTATTGCACGGTATATACATGACTAGATACCAAATATCCTTACGTTATGGTGTATCTTAAAGATTTTCAGTGTTTTTTGTACCGATATTTTAAAAACTGTATGATAGTAGATTTCACTTTTCAGTTTTGTTAGCCCCCTTCTGATTTTATATGACCTTCATGAGCTCAACTCGTTTATTCAAGAAAATTAATGGAGCTTAATTAAACTTGGTGTGCTACTCGATTAGATTCATGAGCCAAGCCAACTTGACTCGATAGGCCCCATAAGGCTCGTGATGGGTTTACTGATAGAATAATATTAAGATACGTGTTTCGTTTTAAACTCTTATATTATAAATATACAGTCCATAACTTCTATTGAGGTACCTTTTCTCAGATTCTCATATGGTATCAAGAGTCTAGGCTAATTTTTTTTCCGGCTGTCTTCTCTCTCTATTTTTCCGCCGCAGCCGACCATGACTTCTCTCCCACCCGCCACCTCTTCAGTCACGACAGAATCGTCCTCTCCGCCCAGTGCTTCGTCTGCTCCGCCTACCTCCTCTCCAGTCTCGCCCACCGTCCCTATTCCACTCGTCCCACAGCAGTATTCCTCTGGCGCCGTTTATACATCAACGTCGCAGCCAGAGACGTCAATCCAACGGCAAGATATATGGATGCCCCCAAATTCTTATCCTCTCTTCAACAGCCTTCCGCAGCAATTTCCATGGCAATCGATGGCACTTCCTGCACCTTCTCAACCCACGATGGCAACTCCCTTTTATGGGACATCGTTTGGTGGCTCACCAGGTGTTACACGGCCAGCCCACGAAATTTTTTTCAGTGGGTCTCCTATGGCCTTACAGACACAGTCTATTTCTCATGACATCGCAAGGTTAATTTCGAGGTCGAGCTCATTAGATATCTTAACGAATCGAGTACCTATACTAGTATACTACCTATAAATGACACTTAACTAGTTGAGTTTGAGCATCTAGGGTAAATTCTTTATGAGCTTGAGCTCTAGGCCTCTGCTAGCCAGGATCAAAGTATCCTCGAGCCGAATTGAAACTTGTGATACTCGGACCTGGCTCAAATAACAATACTAATTGATACTTCGCTTCTTCCTATAGTTTTTTCACTTCCTCTTAAACTCATCCATAAGTATTTTTAATTTACATGATTGGATTAAATAAAAGACTCGCAGAACGTAATTGTATTCTTTGAGAGAATTCCTTAATATGAGGAAAAAAGTTTTGAAATTCCAAAATAGGCTATCATGTTTTTTATTCCTTTAATATGAGTAAACTTCTGTCAAGTTTGGCATTACTAGGCTTTAAACATGACATTTTTTTGAAAACTTGGCAGATTACTTCTATTCAGGGAATAAAAAACAAAAAACATGATACTCCTATTTTGGAATTAACGTTTTTGCTCCTATTTAGAGCAATTTCTATATTCTTTAATGTCATTCTTTTTTAAGAAAACTACCGATCACCAATCCATCGACCATTAGGATAAGTGGATAACCATTAATCCATTGTATAATTAAAATATCAAACCGCAGATATTGACTATGATCCTTGATTAACGCCTCCATCAACTCGATCTCTCTATCAATATTCGTCGTGATTAGTTTTCTTAATCTACAACATCATATTCTTCTGACGATTGCTGTACGAAAAAATCAAAGTGGACAAAATGAGGAATATAATCCGAATAATAGAAATTCACATAAGGACGATATATGCCTTGGTTCCTTAAAATTACTCCTTTGTGATGATGCTTAATGTCGACAAAAAGAGAACTCGCTTTTTAAACGTAATCTTTCTTTTATCTTTTCCATAATATAGTAAAATAGGGTCTTGTGTTATACGTAGTAATAACACCTATCATTTTCCGAATTTATACTCCGTAATCCGTATCATTTTATCCAGTCTCATTATATCCACATCACTGTTTGTTCTTTTTATTTCTCTACAAAATACCAAAAAATCAATGACATTTTCCTTGCGGAAATGTTTCTCATATTGACTTTTCTTGATGTAAACTTTGGAGGGGACAAAAATAATTACATATTACTACGTACGGAGTAATATAATATACTACTCCCTCCGTTCCATAAAATAAGTCTCATTTTCCTTTTTGGGCCGTCCCAAAAAATTGTTCATATTTCCCTTTTTGGAAAGTTTTGTGTGGCTAACATTCATTTACCTTTTTTCTTACTCAACCACAACCATACATTTCCACTTTATTCCCACTTTCTTAAACTCCGATCCAAGTCAAAGTGGGACTAATTTTCCGGGACGGAGGGAGTAATATTTATGAATAAAATAAATATTGTTTACAAAATAACTAAACAATTCCATGTATTCTACCATTTCCCGTGAATATTAATCTCATCACGCACATGCATCAGTTTAGCGCAGATTATATCGTGCAACCGGCGCACCATGAGGATGGTGCGCCCGGTTGCAAAACGACGTAGTATTGCGGCTGGCCCCTTCCCAACAACATTCTCCCTCCCCCAGCCACCATCCTCATCGTAGATTCATCGTGCCCCAGCAAGTAGGAAGCGAGCAGCGGTACTCTTTGTTGTCGGATCTGAAGGCACTCTTCCTTAGTCGAACTACAGAGGCGGAAAACGAATAAGATGAGATGGGATAGAGCAGCTGCAGCAGCAGACTCGAGCTTATGAAAAAGTAGATGAGTTACATCTTAATGTACGTGAGTTACATATTAATATACGCGAGTTACATCTTAATGTATGTGAGTTACACTACGGAATAAACTCCAGCTATATCATTTTTATTGCCCTAATATTAAAAATAAAACATATTCACTATTTATAAAAAAGTAATTAAGCAATTAGAATCAATTTTTTATTGTTTACATTGAAATCAATATTTTTTTCTTATACTGTGTATTTGACAAGTTACATTGATCAATAACGCGAGTTACATATCTTTACACGCGAGTTACATCATTCATGCTACTGGGACAAAAAACAGCTATACAGTACACGCGTGTACTGTTCACACGATTTTTTTTTAAATTGTGTAAAACTACATCATTTTTGGGAATGGAGTATCATTCTCAAGGTGCGCCGGTTGCACCGTATACGAACGGTCAGTTTAATGATACCAGTGAATTAGATTCTTTGACTTTCTTCACGTGCGTCCGCTTCCTCCATTTTAAAATAGTGGTTTCCGTTGGATTTGCAAAGTTTAATTGGGAATAAAGGTAATTTTTTCACATAATACTTACATTCTTAGAAACTTTACTAAGATCTATAGTCCTACATTAACTACAAAACACTCTTCTGAACATGAGAAGTAATGCACAAAATAAATTAGTGATCAAGAGATATTTGAGTTGACCGCTTAATTGTGCACAATTTTGGAAAAGAGGGAGTATTTGACCATTGTGCAATACTCATACAGGACTGAATGAGTATCACGTACCTAGCAGACAATATAGTGTCTCTTTGAGTCTAAAAACATTAAGCACGTTCCGATCTATATATGTACCCATTAAGCATACTCATATCACACTGTTGATTGCATTACTCAAATTTTAAAGTGATTGGTTCACTCAAAAATTTTAAATTTTCTAAGTTTTTCTGGAACGAAACTGAATTTGAGTTGATATAAGCTTTTTAACACTACCCACCATTTTTTGGAAAAATAATATATAACCCCGTAACGTACATTTCATCATTGTTGGAATGTCCCTTAATATCTTTATATATATATATATATATATATAAAGATAATATAATGGAAAAAGACTATTGCCGCTCACATAAAAGTCTAAATATATTAAGAGGCTGTTTACTTTTTATTTCTATTAAGACCTCTCTAGATTAAAACGTGTGTCTGGATTAAAATGTTTATCTGAATTAAGTGATACTTGTATATGAAGCTGTTTATTTTGTAAGCGGAATAAATAGTCTGAATCGAGTAAAATAATCAATTTAGTATAATTCATATATTATAATGTCAATGAAAACCTTCATTTATTAATATAAATCTATTCAATAATCAATTTGAAAAAAATGACAGAAAAAAGTCTTAATAGACGTCTTAATGACAAGGACTGTTATTCTCTGACTTAATGATTAAGTCTTTTTTTACTGAATGATTAAGTCATATTTCCAATTAAGTCGTCTTTATAAAGTCCTAGAGGTCCAAAGGCTCAACTCAATCCTTTTACTTTCGTAGGAGTCCTTTTAATTGTATATATGGTTTTGGTGAGTGTTTAATTAAGGCAACAAATAGCAAGAACAAACAATTAATTAGAGGCAAAGTAAATCTAATTATATTTGAAGTCTATAGAATAATCACCACACTTCTGCTCACCGGCGCTTCGACCCTCTAGACTAAGCTGAGAGCTATTGAAGAAACTAGAAAGAAGTCTACTGCTTAAGAATACAAAGTTGTCAATCTTTTACAATGAAATAAGTGCTGCTATTTATACTTCAAGTTAGTAGGTGGAGTGGATGACGTGTCCGGCCCTGAGTGAATGAATCGCCAACCATAAAATCTTCCATATCTGGTGCAGATTATCTTTGGGTCGATCTCTAGCGTATCATCCAGCCCCGAGCAAACATGTTTTGAGACTTCATGAGGACACAGATTACCACCTCTCGAATCTCGGGCTCCATATCAGCACCAATTGAAATTTTCCGTGTTGGCCACCCCAACCCCAGTCTTCGTGGGGAATTTTATGCAGGAGAGCCACACCGTTATGACCGAGCTGCGCTTTCCTATCCAAACCTGGATCGGGACCTAATATCCCAACATGTATATAAATCAATTTTCGTGTTTTTCTATTTTTTTTATCACGAGGCACAGAATGCAAACTTCAAAACTAAGATGGCATATGCACGAATTGAATAAAAAACTCAAAATTTGGAAATTTTGATTTTATTTTCATATCACACAAAAAAATCATAGTATTCCCATTGCTAAATTGTTAGTTACTATACACAAATGCATCTAAAATTAGAAATGCCGATTTAGATCTAATATAATTTCAAGAACTCAATTAATGATACTTTTATCATGGCAAGACCAACACCTATTTATGTGACATCAACTTTTTAGTCAGTGAAATATATAACTATTGTGTTTCTTTTGTTTTATTTTTTATTTAATGAAATTTTTATTCTCATTCATAAGTTTTTCTACATAGTTTAAATTTGAAATGTAATTTCAAATTATCATTCATTAGTTATGAATTATATCTTTAAAAACAATATGAATTATATCTTTCTTACACATTTATATATATATATATATATATATATATATATTAAATTTGATTTTATATAAAAACATATGTGTACAAAATCTACCATGCAAATGAAGTATTATTAAAGTGAATTCTACTGTGCAACACACGTTTTGATTGACTAGTATATACTAGTTGTACATTGTGACAATTATCAAAAATTCTAAAAATAACATTTATGTGAAACCGTCTCTTCCAAACAATATATCGGACACGAATGTAATAGACTAATGAATTTGATTCTGTTTATTGGATGCATTGAACACAAATATGGATAATGAAGGTGACAAAGCGGGTTGACACAGACGAGACGCAGTGGCAAAAATGGGATTGGAGAACGGAAGGGGACATGTTGGTCAACGGAGCTTTCTTCGTTCCCTCCGGCGACGGTCTTAGCAACGAGTACACCAAGGCCTTCAGTTTTGACCCTCACTCCGTCCTTTTTATCGACCAACTCACCGCTAATGCTGGTGTCCTCCTTGCACCACCCACCAGGTTTGGTTCATCTTGTCCGCCCCATATTTCGTTTCTCCGGGGTCTGATTGGACTAGATCATACTAGAAGATTTTAGTCTTATGGCTCAATTGAGAGTTTCCGCACTATAGTATACACACAAAATTGATTGCGTGTAAAATTTAGGTAAACAATCACTTTGCAGGTAAAACAAAAATACATTATTTGATTACGTGTGTAATTTATTTTTCAATTGCATGTGAAATTATTGTAATGGTTTATAAAATCCATTCAAAACATTTTACCACTCTTCTCCACGTAAAACATTCCACGTGTGAAGTATTTTAGAAAGTGTCATACAAATCTATTAACCAATCAAACCAAACGATGTAAACTATTTACGATCCTACATGTTACATGTGAAGTCATTATTTCACATTTTAACAAACACGCACAAAGTGAAAGCATCCTTGTTTTGGTTAATTGCAACACCATATTTCCTATTTATATAAAAAACTTGCACTACCGTTACCTCAAATTAAGGTTTCCACAATTCCACCACAAGCTTTACGATTTTTTAGGCAAAACCTAAATAATTCAATGGATTTTGAGAAGTAATCCGGAAGGATATATAATAGGATAATTGTTAATAATTGTGGTGTTAAGAGTGTATTTTTTATATGGATAGGTAATTTTTTATTTAAGAGTCTTTATTTGGGACGAAAACAGTACCCTGAAAATATGAAATGATATGTGATTTATTATATGCAAGTTACTAACATATTCGAGGGATAACAGAACACCTCAATCTTTTGTTAGCGGGACAACCATTGGCGGAAACAATAACGGAAGTGGCCGAACAACAATGGGTGCTAATGGCAATGGCTATGTGAGGCCCACAACCAATACTGATCACCCAATTGGATGGTTCGATTATAACGGGGCTCCACGTGTCAAATCCCCTCCTCTTATTGCAATCATTCTTTTCTTCTCTCCTCTAATTTTTTTATACAATTTGTAGTAATCATGCACCAAAGTCCTTTATGGATTGGTTAGCATGAAGTTTGAAGAGAAGAAAATGAAGTTTTGTCCGGAATGGGACTCACCTTTTTGTACATATTTAGTATAATGCTCAATTTGGATTCACACATGTAATATTAATTTATACTTATACTTGTAACTGCTATTTTTTTGTTCTATAAATAAATAGATTACACTGCACATATACTACATTATAACTGTCAATATCGACAAATAAAATTAAAATAGAGAGTTGTTCACTTATTTTTTGGGAATGTTTGAGACCCCACTTTGTCCAACAGTTGGACTGCTCATATATACGGTCGGGTTTTATTTGGATGGAGTCAATGGGCTCCACATATTATACCAGGGCACCAGGTTGTAAAAATTAAATTTTCGAGTCAGTAACTTAATTGGTCTATTAGTTTCTTTCTTAAATCAATTTATCAAGCCCGAGATAAATTAATCTGCTGCACGTGAAGACCCAAATCAATACCATTCATTGTTCTAATTAAATGAAGTGCAAATTACCCAAAGAATCCAATTGTGTGCTTAGTATTTCATTTATGTCCACCTACGTATTATTTTTCATATTTAACTTTCAATTTTTCAATTTAGTTTCTTTATTTCAAAAAGAATCAAAACATTAAACACAATCAAATCCATAAAATCTGGCTCTGCATCAACCTGCGTCTCCTTCTTCTGTTAGAAGCTTCCCGTCTGTCCATCTTCCATATTTTTAGATCAATTTTCAAGTGTCTTACTCATAGACTCCACCTTAAATTCGTCGTTGCTGCTCTCTCAACCAATCTCAAATTGTATTTTCAGATCCCTAATTCGACTGTCGAACAAATGCCGACTTTGAGGGTTCCCGACATCATTTTTTCACTACAACTTGTTCCGTTCATTCATGTATCCTTCTTCGGTAGGCCCTCACAGCAATGCTAGCCTAGTCGTCTTGCTGCACTCTAGCTGATCAGCGAATTCAGGTAACTCCTCAAGTGCTTCTTATTCCGATGTCATCTCTGAGTCACACTATGTCTTGAATGGGAGTTCTATTATACATAGGAATTTCGATTAGAATTTTTGTTTGTTAGGTTTTACTAAAACTAAAATTAACCTATTTAGCATAATTAATTCATTATTAATATTATCAGTTTGATTCGTTTTGGTAGTGGTAACTTAAATTCCAAACTAGAAAACACAGCTTTCACTATTTTTTGGTCTACTTTTTTGCACATGTAGAGAGTATATATTCAACCGGTATATACTTTTGTGTTACGCTTAAAATATTGTGACATGCAGACATGCAGTGCTCACAAGTCACAACCACATGAAGCTTTTAGCTTGGTTTTTTTGTAGTTCATTTGTATTCACCACATAAGTTAATTTATGAAGTCAACTTTATTTGGCTATATTATTACATTGCAAAATTCATAGTGAGGTTTCATATAGTAAGATAGACAAACTTCAATTAAGCTAGGTTTTCCTCTTGAGCCAATTTACCTTTTTTATTGAAAAAACTATATTCTTTTCATTATCATTTATCAATTGTACATTAGGTAGTCAACTTTTATCATGCTCTGTATGCATTAGACAACTATTCTGGTTACTTATTGCACTGCTGAGTTGTTCCCAATCCAAATCTCAAGCTTTATTATCATATTATAACCAAGCTTTTATGCAGCTTTCTTCTGGTCATCTGCCGCATTAGGAGTTTCAAGTTTGTAAACTACTAAGTTTTATTTCAAGGTTGCTCTTATTTCTTCTACACCCTAGTTGCTCCAAACCTCAATATAGTTTTTTGGAGATGTGTACTGTTAGAAAAAAGTCAGTGTACCTACTTCCATTTGATGGAATTATATTTTTGTCCACTATTGCAAACACAATTCAGGAGTTTATTTTTTTTTTCTTTTTGTTGATTGTGTTGCTTTTTGGTGCTTTTTAATTTGTTTTTTGTTGTTGTAATGTGTTTCTTTTTGCCGCAACATGTTTCTTTTTATTGCTTCATGTTGAACAGTTTTCAACTGTTAATTTTTAACGTTTATTTTAATTTGTGATTGCATTTGTACGCAGTAATTTGATATGTGGGTGTTATAGGCATGTACATCTATAGTGATAAAATTGTTCATCTTAAAATGCCCATTCACTAAGAAGTGTAGCAAAGGTTTGGTCATTAGATGAGACTTAAAAAGCATACTTCTACCGTGTTCAGTTCAGTCAAAATGTGCCTTAAACAATATAGTTTCCTTCACTTTTTACACACTTTGCAAGGATAATGAACAAGGCCCGCAAGATTTCTACTATTTCAAGTCATGTGTTGAAATGAAAAGATTTCTGAAACCATTAATGTTCCTCCAGATACATTGTTAAATACCTTATGTTTTTTTAATCAAATAACTGTCAAAGTCAATTTGCATTTGAATTGTGATATCCACTTTTGAATGAAGACAAATAATATATGTTGAGTAGATAAATTTAATAAGACTTGGAAGATCAATGTTGTTTTTTTGTTTCTTTTTGTTGTATCATACATGTTGCTTTTTGTTGCATCATGTTGTCTTTTGTTTCTTTTTGTTGCATCGTGTTGTTCATTGTTGATTACTACTCTCTACTCAACTTTTGTAGTAGATTGAATCTAAACTACTTATGTCTGAGTAATCTAGTTACTTCTTAGGAAATGTGCAGACAGTTAGGTGAAAATAGTCATCTGTAATATTCTAGCATGGATATTAAGCGTTTGTCCTGTGTAAATCCCTAAGCAGATCCTTGAGACTTGGAGATGGATGTTTGGAGTGTCTGTTGTGCGAGCTATATACAATTATATCTTATGTTATTCATGCACGAGTCTCTGTGGTAGCTCTCATGAAGATATTATATACTAGGATAAGGTGAATGTTTATTTTAACAACTTTTGTGTTTCTAAAATCACTCGTGGATGTGTGTGTTGATATTCTTGTCATTTTAAGGACTTCTTGGATTGGATTTGATTTAATCGAGATGAGTAAAGATTTAAGTGTGGGGGTATTTGATATGCACTAATTAGTAGTGCATAAATGTATATTTTTATGATTGATTTGTGTGTATTGTTTACCGTTTTATTTAGTTTGTAAACATTTGTGTGAATTTAGTTGTAATTGTATTTTAACATTCATTTATTAGTTGTAAAGTAGAATTAGGAATTATGGTGTTGAAAAGGAGGACTTTGAAGTGAAGAAAAAGGAGATTGGACTATCCAGGAGCTGAAACCCGACCGGGTAGAAGACTTCACCCGGTCGGGTCTGATTCAACAAGCGAAAGTGCCTGGAAAGTGCACTCACCCGGTCGGGTCCCCTACCCCACCCGGTCGGGTCTGACTTGACCCGGGACACTTTAACATGCTGAAGATCACCAGAACGTGGAGGATATTTGATTTTGACATGCACCCGGTTGGGTGGGCACTTTACCCGGTCGGGTACCCGGCCAAAGTTGTTGTAAAACACCTATAAATAACCCCATTTTCCTTCACTTTTAGATATCCCTTATTCCATACTCTTAAGCTCAGTTTAGAATAGCATTTCTTTATATTTTTCTAGCTATGTTTAGTCTCCAAATGAGAAGCTAAACCCCTCCATCTTGGTTTTGCTACTTTGAAGCTTAATGAATTTGTAAGTTGTGAGTTATTTTCTTTAATCTTCTTCCTTGAATATTAATTCTTCCTTTCAAATACTATTTCTATATCAAAGTTGGGGAGTGTTACTAAGATGACAATTAGTTAACATCTTGACATTGGTTATAGTAATAGTTATTTCTTCCTCTATGTTAATATTGGGGAGTGTTACTAAGATGACAATTAGTTAACATCTTGATGTTAATCATAGTAGGATTCATATTCTTTAATATTCTTTCTTGAGTATTAATTAATTCCTATTCATATTTCATGTTAATATTTCAAACATTACTTAAAGTATCAACTAGTTTTGTTTCTCATATTAATTATTACTAGAATCAATCGGTTAATACGCTTGTTATTAATCCGGTTCTTTCAACGGTAGTAAACTTGAAATATTAATGCATGCATCTCATGGTTAGTATTCCAAGGGGAATTAATTTTGTTGGTTAAACCAATAAACCGCTTGTGTTGAGGTTATCAATCTCAATCGTTTTCATCTTAAGTTTATTGCTACTATCAAGTTAATATATGGTGCTTGTTCTATATTGATTCGATAGTAAATTTTATTAATGAACGCATCTCGTTATTAATAACTACCCTTGATGAATTGGATATACTCCTCGATTGAGTATTCGAGAGGAAGATAGTTAAAGATATAACGGGATCAACGAACATTTCATTAAGTGGATAAAAGCAAAACCAAGCCTCCACATCTATTACTTAAACTCATATAGGTTGTTTATCTTAGTGTTAATTGAATTAAATCAAAGCAAAGTGAAACCCCCCCTTGTTACTATTTATATAAAAGAAAAATATTCCTTTCCCTGTGGATACGAACCTTACTTTACTATACTACGTATTAGTGTTGTATTGTAATTATTTTGAGTGCACCTCACGACAAGTGCACATCAAATTTGGCGCCGTTGCCGGGGAAAGGCAATTAATTTTCCTTTTATTTCATTTCAAGAAAAATCAAAAAAAAAATATTAAACAAAAATATAAAGAGTGTTTATTTTTCTATTTCTGAGCTTTGAGTATATTGTTAAACACCGATCTATAAACCAAATCACCTACCAAACAAAGCCCGAAACAGAACAAGCCTTCGAAAGGTTTAGGAATTTATTTTCGAATACTTCTTCGGAGGAATCATCAAGTGCTAGTTCTCATTCTAGCGACACTGAAGAGCCAATCACTATGGCTCTTGAAACAAGAACGCTGAGGGAGCTCACAGCTCCAAACTTGAATCAACAACCACTGTGTATTACCTTCCCTACACTTGATGAGGGTAATACGTTTGAGCTAAAATCTGGGCTCATTCATCTACTGCCATCCTTCCATTGCCTGAGGGGAGAGGATCCGAACAAACACCTCTCGGAGTTCCACGTCGTTTGCACAAGCATGTGTCCAAACGGTGTGACAGAAGAACAGATAAAACTGCAGGCGTTTCCATTTTCTCTAAAGGATACCGCAAAGGATTGGCTATTCTATCTTCCTTCAGGAAGTATAGGTACATGGGCGGCCATGAAGAAAGCGTTCCTGGAAAGGTATTACCCTG